TCTTAAAAACATTAAAACTTGATGATAGTAGGTTGTTTCCACAACACATGTTGGTTCCACAACACATTACCATGTTTAATACCCAACCAGTTAAGGCCGAGACTGATTACACAATGCATGGGTATAAACATCCTCACTTTTTTCCATGACAAATACGTGCCCAATTGCCCACCACTAGTCTATAAGACGTTACTTAATGGCTAGCCTTTAACAAGATTTGCTGTTAAATTATAAAGTTACTCGCTAAAATGACCATATGATGTGATCTATACTCACATAACCACCGTTTTTTAATCTTTAATAATAAAATGACCATATAAATTTTTAAAAGAAATTCGTAAATCTGTCATGTTACTTTTTCAGATATAAAAAGCACACTATTAAAAAAAACCTCCCTAGTTTTAGCTAGAAATTAATTAAAATACTCAAACTCAAGGAGATTATAGATTTTTCGCTAGTGCCTGGAAAACCAAATTACAAATAAACTCAAAAACTTGAATTTTTGAAACTTGGCTAGATTTTTTTTTTTCTATTTTTTCTTCATGAATTGGATTTCAACCCATAAAACCTAAACTTTGGAAATATATAACTCAGCCATTTCAACTAAACTTTGTGTTTTTCTATATTTTTTAGAAATATTTATTTTATTTGTTTTATCTCGTGAAATATTTTGAATTTAGTATATATTAGTCAATTCGTTAATTTGCGGCTAAAATTAAAAGGGTATTTTTTGTAGTAAAATGTCTATAAGCCCTCTTTGACAATCCAACTTATAAACTATTTTATCGACATGTTATTTTAAAATGACTTATCAATAAACTATCTTATAAACTACTTTATTAATTACGATAAACTATTTTTATGATTTTTCCAAATGTTAAATTAGAATAAGTTAGTTATTTTTTTTCTTGCAATACATAACCTTAGTGTTAGAGAAAGTAGATTTTAGATGATTATTCTATAATAGAATAAAAAAAATCACATAAGTGTATATATATTACATAGTGTGTTGTTAAATTTTATTTAAACTGCAAGTTTTAAAGTGTTTATTAAGACCAAGGGCGAAGCTAACAATTTTTTTTAGGGTATTCCTCAAAAATTAATTAGAAAACAAATATATAGTATCAAACATCCGCAAACTACAAAGTATAAACATTACTTCCTATAATAAAGACAATAATCAAATACTAACTACCTACCATCAAAGAAATTAGAAACTGAGTGAAAAATATAAACAAAAAAGGAGAGAAACAGAAAAAGAACAATGAACATATAAGTCTTTTTCAACAATGTTTATCTCTTTTTAGAAAAAAGAGAACAATGCACAATGCACATCACAAACTACAATTAGCTAGAAAATGTTAATATAAGTTTTTGGCCTTCAATGCAACCCTAATTGATGTAGTTGGTTTAAAGTAAACTACTGGAAAGATTTCTTTTGTTGACACATCTAACTTATGAGAACAACAATAAATGATAGTAATATATAGCAATGATCAGATTGAGATTGATTTCATAACCTCTTACTAGAACAAATTTTAACTAATCAAAATCAAACATCGGGTTCCATAAAGAGTTCAATACAATCCTAAAGGACCATATGCAGAACAATTTTGAATAAAGAAGATAAAACCAGGACATGATATGTCGAAAAACAAGAGATGCATATAAAAAAAACCATTATATTGAAGCAGGAGACCAAAACAATCAAATAAGGAGAAATCATAACTTACCCAGTGAGGATATTGATCGAGTTATCCATAATTCTCGACGCACGACTTCCCACACCTGCAATGAACTTCGATTAAGAAGATAGAAGATTAGAACTTAGAAGACGCTGGAGTCTGATCGCAGGAGTCACAATCACGAGCTATAGGTTTTGATTTGGCGCTGAATTGAGTGAAAGGCAAATTGGATTTTCCGATTAATTGATATGGTTTGAAAGATGGTGGGCTGGGCTACTTAAAAATAATTATTTTGAAAAATTGAGGGTGTGCATGGGCCTATGCTATCCCTCACATCGCTCCGATTACGACATTCAAGCTTCATCTGGTTGAAAATATGAATATCAAACAGCAAATTAATAAACTCGTCCATCAATAGTATTTCTGATAAAGTGTAAACAAAACCCAGTTCTGTGGTCGAGCAAAAGAACTCAAAAGAACTCATCCCCTCAATCCATGTCTTCTTCATATTCTTATTTTGGAGACGTGCCCAACCCCTAGATCAAGAAACTGTAAAATTCTTACCCTATATCCAGAGTGAGAGATCGATTGAGTTGTTCAACTATTAAGTGATTAAAACAAGAATTGCCACATGATTATTCCAAGGATTCTATCCCTAAGCCATCACTCGACCTCAATCTCCTTTCTGATCTCTCTCAATCTGGATCTCTCAATATGTTCTTTACGTTAAACACTAAACTAATATTTGATATCTCCCCTCATTCTAGGAATCAGTGCCATTAAAATGTTGAAACCATTCCAGTAGCTCCATTCAACTGTTTTGGTGAAGGTTTTAAATCAAAACTATGACAAATGAAACAGATGAAGATGTTGACTCAAACATCAAAATCATGAACTAAACTCAAACCAGATGTGTTCATGGTTGAAGACCAAAAGAAGACAAATATAAGATTCTTTTTTTAAAAAAATCCTTAAGGATTGCCAAAATACTCATTTTACAAATATTTAATGGATAAACAAATTAAAATTGGTAAATTTGGGGTCTTACCAAACATAGAAAGTAATTATAAATACCATCGTAACTAAAAATATTTGTTTTTAGACTGAATATGACAAATATATATAACTACAAAGTCCATTTTCATGAAAGTCATTTGTAAAATTTCAAGCATAATAACTGAATATTTTCACATGGAACACTATTATTATAATTATTAGTTTACATTAATAAATGGATAACTCTATAAGAGTACTTTTAAAAAAAGAATTTGTTTATAAATCGAATTTGAAAAAGATTTCTATCTTGTTGGAGAAAAACAAGAAAATAATGGAGACAAATTGGCACATTTCATGTGCGGATTTGTTTATATGAAGTCAAAAAGATTTAGTGGTCAAGAAATTGTTTTATTAATGCAACTTGAGTTATTTAATACAACTTGAGTTAATTAAAGCTAATATTAAGATATTAAATATTAATCATATAGTACGAATGCAACTTTATTTATATGCGACTGGTATAATTTTAAACCTTATCATTATATGGCGGTTCCACATAGTGTCTCACAGTGATATCGGCAATGCCTGACTTCCGTCTACGCGATACAAAAATTTTGAATTTTTTTTACTATTGTGTCATTACTATTTTTTCCATGTCACAACTAATATGAAATCCTACGTCCACCTTCTATATCCTTCCAATCAGTTTTAATTAACATTTGACAGTTATGCAAAGTTTAAACTTTTATAGGTGACATATTAAAGAAAAACAATCATAAAACGACCACTCTCTCTCTCTCTCTCTCTCTCTCTCTCCCCTAAATACCACCCATGTCTCTAGCGAGAGAGTTGCTCCTTACCACTAGGTCATTGACCATTTGGTTTGTAAAAGAAAAAAATTGAATTAATCAAAGAAAATATGAGGATTTCAAGATTCGAACCCGCACCTCCAACAACACTACAAACGCAATATTTAACCACCAAGACGGTTTGCCAAACACTGTTGAGTGTGCGGATCATATATTCATCCAGTTTGATTTTGTAATAGTTTTTAGAAAATGGGACATGAGATGATGGACATAACTCTTGGGCCTATAAATATTATGACAAATTTACTGAAGTTTGCAGCAAATTGGGGTCACTTTACCAGAAAAGAAGGATATTCAAGATTATTTGCTATGAAATGTTATGGTTTTTATGGAAGACTCAGAATAATCGTGAAATCAACCCTTACCAAAATACAAAATAGCTGATGACATACTATCGTTGGTGTTCATTTGGATAAAACATAGGGGTTATGCGGGTGTCATTAGGTACTACAAATGAAGGACATCCCTTTTGTTTGTCTGTAACTGTTGCATTTCCACTTTTGTTTCTTTCTTTTTCACCTATGTTGTACTCTATCTTGTTGTTGGCTTCATCTAGCTTCTTGCTAGTTGTTGTCCCTTTATAAAATGTTTAGTCGTTTCCAATATATATATATATATATATATATATATATATATAATATATATATATATATATATATATATATATATATATATATATATATATAGTTAAGTTATGTTTTAACTATCTATTTTGTGCATGTAAGATTGATTGTGGACCAATCATTTTAGTTATTTTAAGAAAATAATTAATGCATATTACATATTGAAGATATAATGAGTATTAATTAAATCTTCAACGTTTAATATTCATTAATTATTTTCTTAAAATAACTAAAATGATTGGTTCGGAATCAATCATACTACATGTACACAATAGATAGTAGAAACATTTGAACCTAACTCTCTCTCTCTCTCTCTCTCTATATATATATATATATATATATATATATATATATATATATATATATATATATATACCAAATTAATATAATTTAAAAAAAAAAACAACAAAACTATTCAGTCCATGTGGAATACAATATAGTCGTAATTCATAATGCACATATATGTTTGGGATCAAATGTGAAGTTTTTAAAACTTGTTTTTTTCCCTTTTTAAGTATTTTTTTTAACCGATAAATATAATCTACACCTTATTAGTGTGTATATTCAATTGTATGTATTTTGTGTGTATGTACTATGTTTGTGTAGCTTTAGGCATCAACCTCTGTAGGGTTCGGCCTATCCCTATGTATTATATATATATATATATATATATATATATATATATATATATATATATTGTGTTTAATGTATATTCTGGAAACAAGGGAAATTACCACACTATTATGGCATCAGAGATTATTCCTTCCTTCTTTCTCTCCTAATAATTCTTTAGTCCCGATCTCATCTACCCTACTCCTTCATCGTTCATGTGGTCGGCCCTAGCCCTCTATGTTCCCACTATGTCAGGCGACTCTATTAAGGACAGTAATGACAAACCTTTCAGCTTCACCAATATCTGCACCTATGTTCCAATCACCCTCGATCTCGAAGAACTAAACTATGACATTTGGCGGGAACTTTTTCAGGCCTGTTGTGTGGGATTTGGCGTCAATACTCATCTCAAAGACGCCTCTCCTACAATCCCATATGAAGAATGGCTCAAGCTCGACTCCTTAGTGAAGTTGTGGATCTTTGGATCAATCCACAAATCTCTTGTTCAGATGGTGGTAAAACTTGGGATGACAACCCATGATCTTTGGAAAAGTCTCGAGAATCTGTTTCGGGACAATAAAGATGTTCGTGCGATGCAACTCGACCACGACCTCCGGTCTATTGAAATTGATGACTTATATGTCTCTGATTATTATTATAAGATCAAAGTTCTATCATACCTTTTATCCAACATCGACCAAGCAGTCCCTGAAAAAAACTTGGTGATGTATATGGTTAACGGTTTCGGGGACAAGTTCGACCAAGTTGCGAGTATAATCCGCCATCAAAACCCCATCCCGAAGTTTCTTCAAGCACGCTCCATGCTTCTTCTCGAGGAAACCCGTCTTGTCAGGTCCCGCTCTTTCTGTTGTAACGCCCCGTTTCTGGTACGTATTTAATTCATTAAATGTCATTTTATAAGATCTACTCGACGAGTTATAACCCTAACTCGTCGAGTAGATGCCAGGTTTGGACGCGGGTGTAAGTGACCTACTCGGCGAGTCCACGCCTTGACTCGACGAGTAGGCCAGTCTGGGGGAAACCCTAAAATTTAGGGTTTGCACCCTATTTAAGCAACATTATAGGCCTCTTGTCCAGCCTCCATCACCTCCAGAGCAGTAATCCCTAAACCCTAATCCTCCATAAGTGAACTTGAGCTTTCTTTGTGATTTTGAGAGTTATTTGGTGTATTTGAAGCTTGTGAGAAGAAGAGGGAGAAAGAGGACTTCAAGAGAAGATTGTAGATCCAGGAACAACATCAGCTTCTCTTCACTTTCTGGTAATCAAGCCTCATACTTGACTTGTAGTTTCTTAGATCTCCTTGTGGTCATCTTTATGAGGTTTTGGGTCCAAGGCGCTTAATCCTTGGGACTTGGACGTCCCAAGTCGATTTACACACAGATTTGGAACCTTGGAGGGTCCTCATGGCATAAAGGTGCCATCTTTATGGCCATGAGAACCCCAAGAATGAAATAAACCCCATTTTTGGTCATTTGAGGATAAAAGTCCCATGAATGAACGTAAAGTTCATGGCTTTACGTGTTATACCGATCTTAGGATCCTAGATCTACCTTCTGGATGAGTTTTGCACATCAGAAATCGAATTATTAGACTTGGACATGCATGGACCCAACGAGTCGTTCTTGGGACTCGGCGAGTCGTGAGTTGGTTCCCAAAACTGTTATGACTCAGAGGAACCCATTTTAGTTCAGAAGGGATTTGGATGAGTCCAGGGAAGGGACTCAATGAAATGGAAAAAGCCATGGATCTAGAAACCATGGGACTCGGCGAGTGCAGGAACGTACTCGGTGAGTCCAAGGCCATCTCCCAACTCTTGAAGACGGACTCGACGAGTTGTTCATACAACTCGGCGAGTCACAGACTAGACATGTTCTTAAGATGAAGATAAACTCGACGAGTTCAGGAAGAACTCGGCGAGTCAGATGAAGATTGTCTCGATGTTATGATTGAAGGAGAACTCATCGAGTTCTTGCTAAACTCGATGAGTAGAGTCGGGTTGGGGGTATTTGAGAGGATTGGGACTCGGCAAGTTGTCGAGCCAACTCGGCGAGTCCGGTCAACTGGGAAGTTGACTTTGACCATGATGTAGACTTTAGCCAGGGGTAAAAGGGTCATTTCACCCTAAGGATAGCTATTAGTTTCTGACTAAGTGTCATTGTGTAATTTATAGCCGAAGAGTCGCCGGAGCAGCAGCCATATATCTTTCCGCTCAGTGTTTCAGCAGCCAGTTACGCGAGGTGAGTTTCCTCCTTAGGAACGGGTCTACGGCCATAATGCCGGCCCGTTTAGATATAGTAGTTTCAGATTTCGGTCTGATGCCGGGGTGATCCCGAGAAGTAGTATGTATGCCTGATGTCCTTGTGATTCATGCATGTTTATGTTATGTGCTTTGTGTTCCGGACTTCAGTCTGATGCCGTTCAAGCCCGATGCAGTAGTTGTATGTTTATGTTACACGTTTGTGTATATGGTATGTTCAAGTTATTCCGAACTTCGGTCCGATGCAGTGGGCAAGGCCTAAGTTATTCCGGACTTCGGTCCGATGCAGTAGGCAAGGCCCAAGTTATTCCGGACTTCGGTCCGATGTAGTGGGCAAGGCCCAAGTTATTCCGGACTTTGGTCTGATGCAGTCGGCAAGGCCTAAGTTATTCCGGACTTCGGTCCGATGCAGTGGGCAAGGCCCAAGTTATTTCGGACTTCGTTCCGATACTGTGGGCAAGGCCCAAGTTATTCCGGACTTTGGTCCGATGCAGTGGGCAAGGCCCAAGTTATTCCGGACTTCGGTCCGATGCAGTGGGCAAGGCCCAGTATGTGCTTTATGTGTTATAGTATGGTATGTGGTAGTTTGGGGGAGCTCACTAAGCTTTGTGCTTACAGTTTTCAGTTTTGGTTTCAGGTACTTCCACTAGCAAAGGGAAGGGCTCGGGATGATCGCATGGCACACACCACAGTCTTCAGCCTGGGAGTTTACTCTGATATTTTGATATGATATTTGACATGAGATTTGACATGTGATAGATCTTATGAGATTTTGAAACACATAGTTTATGATTTTTATAATTTGGTAATGAAATGATGGTTTTAATAATGTTTTAAAAATGAAATTTTTCGGTTGTATTTTTGGGATGTTTCAAGTTGGTATCAGAGCCTTGGTTTGAGGGATTCGGGCACACTTTCAGGTGTGTCTGAACTCAAACTAAGGAAGTAGTATGAAACTTTCAAAATAAAATCATTTTTAAAAAGGATTTTTTTAAAATAGAAAAGAACTTTGAAAAGAGAAAAGGGTTTGGTGCATGCAATCAACCGAGCTCAAGTAAGTACTCCCAATTTACCCATACAAGTTTATGCTATGTTATGATTATCAGCTTTATTAGAACAGCATGCTAGATTAGGACTAAGGATCTAGGAAGGATGCTTTATGTGCCTGTTATATGTGTTCAACTTTATGAGAACTGCATGCTAGTACAGATTAGTCAGTATGATAGCCAGAGTAGTAGATGCTTGATTATGTGTATTTGATGCTCGAATGCTGCTTGCTTTGTGCTTTTAGGAGTCTTAGTTATCTTTCACTAAGTAGTAAACAAATATGTTACGTTGCATATTTGAAGGACTGAATAATTTTAGAAGGTTAAGTCTAGCTCTATTTCGCATCTCTTGTCTGAGTCCAACCGTTGTAGAGTAGGATCTCTCATTCGAAGAATTATCTAGTCTGAGTAATATGTAATAGTATTCACGAGCTAGTTATTGAAAGAAAACAGGGACTTCTTATGCAGCTGATGGCGGAGAGTGGGTTGGTGATTACCCTAGGGGAAGCCTAGGAAGAAGTTTAGTATGAGATCTGTGACATCCCTATTTTTCACGGCCATAAAAGACCGATTTTGTTTATGCTTTATAAAATCAGAGTACCTCTTTTTAATAAAAATTGTTGCGGAATTTGTTCCCAGAAAAAACATGATAAATACGTTATCAAAGCATTTCCGAAGAAATGTGATTTTATTCATTTTTAAAACATTTGGGATGTCATCGTCAATACAGAAACATAAGCATAAACAGAACTTACATTCATTTACACTAGTGATCTACATCTCTTTTAAATCTCTCGGTGTAAAGTAGCTTCATATCGACACCTGTGATAGAAATAAGCTGGAGTGGGTTAGGTTGGGAAACCTGGTGAGTATATAGGGTTTTCAACCCACAATAATATAATTATTATGTTTAAACATCAAACAATCAACCCAATTACCCATCCCCATTATCTTCTTCACTCTTAAGGATCTACCCTAAGAATCAACTATTCCTCGTTCATTCATTCCTAAGGATCATCCTAAGGAATCGACACGAAGTCCATTGTCACCGGGGTTTAGGCACTAAGTCTGCATAGTCACCAGGATTTATACAACAGGCACTAAGTCCGCATAGTCTCCAGGGTTTAGGCACTAAGTCTGCATAGTCGCTAGGGTTTATACAACAGGCACTAAGTCCGCATAGTCGCCAGGGTTTTGGCACCAAGTCTGCATGATCGCCAAGGTTTAGGCACCAAGTCTGCATGATCGCCAGGGTTTAGAGTACACCGGGTGGACATAGGGCCGGTCCACAGATATAGTGGGCCCAGGGCGAAAAAAGAAAAATGGTACCCCAAAATCATATATATAATAAAAATTAAATAGAAAATAGAGACATTGTTATAAAATTCACTATAATATTAAAAAATACAAATATGTCAAAACGTTACAAAAAAAAACTACTTTAAAAAAAAATATTTCTCATAACATTTTTAGATGAGTTAGTTTTTTCTCTATATAATTATACTATATATACTCTAGAAATTTTGGAACCCTTAGAGGCATGGGCCCTGGGCGACCGCCCGGGTTGCCCACCGTCAGGACCGGGCCTGGGTGAACACATCGTTCACAACACCTACAGGTTGCGAGCCTGCTAGTGTTCCACTGGACTGTCTAGAATAGTCTGTGGTTGTCATCCATACTCTGCTAGATGACGGGGCCAGCATTTGGGAACAAGGCTTCTCACATCGTCCACCTCTCACCCTTACCTCATGGTCTATATCACCTCTCAACTCATCATCCAACTCATATTTCATCTACCCATGTTTTACCCAACATATTATGTATATATAAATACATATACAGTTTAAATCATATAAAACTTGTATAAAATCGTTCATCCGGCATAGATAGCAAGTATACAAATAATATGCACACATAGCACGTAATTTATATAAAATACTTCATATATGTGTGTTAGATGAAAGTAACTATGCACTCACTTGAGAAGGTGGTGACTCGGCACTCGGACAGCACTTCGTTACTCTTAACACAATTTTCCTCGGACAAAACCTAGTATCATTACCACTAGAGTTTAGTCTAATATCCACCGAGACTAATTAATAGTCTAGCTATTATTACTATTATATAAGCGTTAAACGATACTTATATAACCCATAATAATATCCCAAGTACTTATTATAAGGACCTAATAACATTACTATATTAAAACATAAGCTATACTAAAGATAGGTTAGGCGTAGCTCACTTACAACGGGTTTTATAGAAAACCGGACTTTGCTTAGAGCAGCGTTTCCGAACCGAAAGACCCTTTTTATCGGGACTCCGGGAGCCTCGGGGCTTCCTTCGGGTGCTAGGGGGTTTACCTAGGATTTAGGGGGGTTAGGGAGGCTTAGAGAGAGGTTCTAGAGAGAGAAAGAGAAGTTGTAAGGTGTGAGAAATGAGGGTGCCCCGGCACCCTTTTTACAGGCTGGAAATCACCAAAACTCGTCGAGTTGACCTCCAACTCGTCGAGTTTCATGGCCAGGTGTTACCATCTGGTGGCTAGCCTTGGGGAGGAAGCAACGGCCAGGATTTC